ACGATTGCAACAAGAAATTAATCACTAAAGTATAATTAGATGTGTTAGTGGTGGGACCTTGTAATTTAAACTATCCAAAGATATGGAACTATGTATATGATTAGTGATGAAGAAGCACTATCGGTATTATTTCGTTGCCACGAAAAATTAATAATATTCGTATATAATCAGTAGATGAACTGCTGAATGAATATCCCTGAAACATCTATGTCGATAATAATATTAATAATAAATATATATAAATATGGAAATGAGACTGGTTGTTGAAACAATTTCAATCCTGAACATTTTTTCTGAACTAAACTGAATTTTATAACAGTATATGTACACTTAAATTATTGGAACATAACAAGAAGCATTAAGAAGAACGATAATAATCTCAAATATATAAAACATTTTTACTAGTAAGTCACGTTTTAGGTCAGACATGCTGACATTTCAATAATAATTTTAGTAAGGAAGTAAGGAGGGTGACTTGCATGTTAAATTAGAAACTTTAACACATAATCCAACAAAGTACAATCAAATGTCAATGAAGGTTTAGTGATTTCTGTAGATAGTCAGTGGATGAGTGAAATTTACATGCTCACTGAAAGTTAGAGTAAGTGATGACAGTATTACTGTTACAGAACAAACTTATTAATTCAAGAAATCTTGATCTTCGAAGTGCTTACCGAAATAAACTGAATTATACGACAGTAATCATTCACTTGAGCTAACCAACAGGAATCATTAAAAATTACAAACTTTTGTAACGAACACTGACAACAAGTGCTGCTAAATGTAATAGTGATGTGACTGATGAAGTACACATTTTTCTATTTAGTTTACAGCCTCACACCTTGTGTATGAAGGCCAGTGACACCAGCCGGGTGCCAAAATCGAAGTAGGTAGGATGGGGCTTGAACCTGGGCCTTGGTTGAAAGTTGAAAGTCGCAATCAATAAACCAGCATCTTTATTAAGACAAGTCTATTCAACGAAAACCTTATATTATAATTACAATAGATCAAAGTAACCACAGTAATAACAAAAATATTTTGATAAGCACTGTTAGGGTAAACGATTGTAATGAATGAAAGCTATCGGTCGGTATATTTCTCTTACTTTCATATTAAGATAACAAAAGAAATAAGCCTTAAAAAAATAGGTAATTTGAGTGATAATTTTAGTAGAACATCAGAGAAACTGAAAGCATGATGTATAGCTTGCGCATGACACATAATGTGAGTGTATAGCAGTTACGCACAAAAAGGATTGACAATCATTCTCGCAATCTATGTAGCAACAAGATCACAAATAACATTTATGGAATGTTGATGAGTCATTCATCAATAACAAACTGAATAACGTTTCAAGAAAAATATGCGGCTGAACAGCTTTATAACACTAAGACAGTTTGCATTCTGGAACAAGTGAATTCTAACTACTTCAATGACCTGAGAAAATGCGGTGCATCCCAAGCAGTAAACAGCTTCGAATTATTGACACAAATATAGACTAGGAGTACCGGTTATATCGTACATACGACTAATTATTATCTTTATTCATTAAATTACCCAAGTTAGTGAGATTACAGTTGGCTAACAAAAGTGTTATCGTTTCAAGAGATTAGAATCTAATTTAAGCATCATACAAAGATGACCATAGAGACTTTAGCAGTAATTCACACAAAATGTCGAGAACTTGTCAGGCAACGTAATTGTTTAAAAATGAAAGTAAACTAGTATACTTTCAAACATATGTTACTTTATGAATAAACCCACTAGGACAAAAAGACAAATGTTCGTATAATGTACGCACTCATGACTGAAGAATCACCACCATAGTGCATATTGTGATATATCTTACAACACAAAGCACAAGTAAACGACTGATAATACAGTTATTCCAGGATTCCATTTACAAAGTACAAAATGCCGTGTTGGTTTCACAAAATGATTTAGTCAATTCGTATAGGAAAATTATAAAGATTAATATGTGGTGAGATGGTGGAGAAAATTCGTAGCTCAAGTGGATGATTGTGATGAAGCTTTGTTCTCTGAGCTGGATCTTTTAGTTGTGGAGCTTTCATCGTTCTTCTGAACATCATCAGCACAAACTGTGAAGTGATGTATGCGGATTTCTCCATGGCTTGCAACTTAATCTTTTGAACTCGGTCTTGATTGGTTGTTATTGACCTTAAACCTGTCGTTGTCTGCACCGTTATTTTGATTGAATACCCCTTTGATCTGTTTCTTGATCCTATCTTCTATGACTTTTCCAATTGGTTGACAAATTAGATCAATGTCAATGTGTTTGTTGATTGCTGATTGACTTGAGTGCCAAGTTTCTAAAAATTCTCCAGTGTTCGTAGTGCTCTCTTTATCCAGTATTTCAACATTATTCCAATCGAACGTATGTCCATATGTATTGATGTAAGGGAAGAAATGTCATGACGTTTGACTGTTAATTGATGTTCACACAGATGAGGCTGAAGAGGACGTCCACTCTGTCTTATGTAGTGTTTTCCATAGTCTGAGCAGTTTAATTTGTAGATGATATTTGGTTTTTCTTCTTTTGTCATTTTGTCCTTTGGATTACATAGGATTGACAGAAGTGATTCTATTGGCTGTAATTTACATCACGACCACTGAAACCATTTGGAATAGATGTGGCGCACAATCAGAACATTAGAAAGTGCTTAGGATCGCCCATCTGGCCTTCTGTCTTTCTAATTGGAAGCCTGCAGCTCACTGACTGAATGGGAAGCGTACACTAATGCGGCTGAAGCTATCATTACCGTCTTGGAAAGCAGAATTGGTGTTGAGGAAAATCTAAATATACACAGATATCTTGGGTCTAGTACGCGTTAGTGAGAGCAGTTTTGCCTTATGCTCTTGGAACCTTGTCTCTCCCAACTGAAGATGTTAGACAACTAGTTGTGTTTGATCAGCATCGACTCCAAGGAATCGCAGATATTCAGTGGCAACAACAAGTAAGTAATTAGGAGGTTTGGACATAGTGATGATAATTCAATCAGTGTTCCAACCTTAACACACAGGTCTCAGTGACTTTGACATGTTTTACGAAAGCTACTTTACAGAATTCTGCATCGTACATTATGGACTGACAATGGAATTATTTAGAAAAAACCAGAAAAGTGGTTATTTTGTGATACGGTGCCAATGCAAAAAGAAAGCTGTACAAGATTCTCATCTGTTACCATATCACGACTCCCTGGTTGGGATCAGAGAAATAGTAAAACTTAGTGGTTTGTAACGTTATCCAAATACGGTTTATAACAAAATACTACAGAAATACTACTGTGATTTTCTTTTACACACATTATAAGAGTGAGAGGAACTTCTTTAATTGAGAAGATTCTTTCTGGATGTATTTTTTTACTGAACTGCTTTTCCCAGTATATACTACCCTCATGCACTTATTCTCATTCATTTACACCTACTCCACAATAAACTTATTTTCCTATTTTGGTTCCTATTTGTAAAAATATTTGTTTAAAAATAAAGTAAAAATCAATATCTCGAAATGAAGTTACACTAAGATGATTATAATTTCCCTCGGAATTATAGTGACACAAAGAATCAGAATCAAAACTACTACAAAATATTATCACGTACAGTCGGGTAAATTTGTCCAAACAAACCTTAGTGTAAGCAACTGCATCCAATTCGCAAGGGTCAACTTTCGCCTCGTTAATGGCTTTCTGAACAAGTTCAATAATGTGAGACCGATGAAATTTGGCTGTTTCTGTTGGCTGGAAACCTTCACCAGGTGGAGTGATGTATGTTACTCTAGGATTCGCAAGCACTGATCCATCACGAACTATTCCGACGCCCAATTTGTTGGCACTACCTTCGATGCCTAATACGATAGTCATTATTTCTGAAACGCCAAAATAAAAAGTTTTAATGTTACCGAATTTTTTAATCACATTAAGTGACATTCATGACAGTGATATGTTTGACTAATCAATAGAAAAATAACCAATGAGATAATCGCACTAAAAGAATCTAGACTAGAAAATGGGACTAAACACTACCGAGATTAAAAACAAAAAAATAGATACAGTGTGGATTTTCATTACACATGGAGCGAAAGCCAATAATTAACCAGTTATATGTGTGGTCGTGGTCCCCGAATGCCCTGGTACGGTCGAGAATGGGGAAAGCTCACTTATAAAATACTTCCACATGTGTAACCATTGTCAGAGAAGTATTATTCATTACTTCCTCGTAGCATCGTGTGGTTTACGAAATTGAGAGGGCGAAAAGCGAGTGTCCGGTGCTTCGAACACATTATTGGGTATGAAGTATATACTTATTGTACAAAGGCTGATTGCTTGAGATTTAAATATGTGGATGTAGCTTGGACAGCTTGAGGCAGTGAACCATTCGAAACAACTCTAGAAACTAATGAACCACGAAAAACCCAATTAAGGGAATACTTACTTAGGCAAAGAATCTTGATGAAATTTGCAATAAGAAACTCCAGGTTATCCGCTTTGGTTCCTTAAGGAATAAACTTAAGGAAATCCGCTGTATTCGGCACAACACGCATGATTGTACAGTAAGTGATGTACACCAGATGATACACACTACAGCATCAATTATCCACTTCAAGTGTTTACGTGTAACTGGCTTCAGGATGTGTGATCTCACACGCAAATAGGGTAATCTGCTATTTAACCATGTTATGATTTATCTTAGTAAACACTAGGATGTTGAATTTACTAGATACATATTTTAAATACGTTATGAATTATAAGTATTACATATGGAAGCGATTACGACAAGTGATCATTTTAAAATCATGTTAAATATGTTGCTAGACATAACCATATTCTACTCAAAAACGACATTTTAGTGGAAAAATTCAACTTGTGCACAATTATTACAGGAGAGAGAAAACCAAAACAATCGATAAGAAACAAACATTTATTGCAAAAAATTCTGTAAATGATACAAAAAAAATCACGTATTCAATGTGAAAACATGAATCACCGTCGTTTTTCTCGTGAAGTGACAGAACTAACGGTTGTATTAACCGATGAGTTAGTTGAAGGGACTACGTTGCTGGCAGCTGAGTTTGAGTCGACTGATCGCAAAGACTTTCTCGTTCGTTTTTGACCAGAGGAATCTAAAAGAGAATTTCACAGAAACACTTATTACAGAGAAATAGTGTACACTATGGATAATGGAAAAGTTCTTACCATGAATAAGGTACAGTAATTAATCTTTTTTACAATGTTTCGAATCAGAAACCAAGACGGGAATATACCTTATTTACCAACGGATAGTTATTTAGTAGGCCATTACCATGTGCCACATGAACACTATTTCAAAACCAAGTTCTGTAATTACGAATGGATATAATAACTTGAATAAAGGTGAAATAATCCTTAAAACAAGGATATATTTTTAGTACTTCTGCATCTGTGGATAACTAGAACGGCAGTTTTGTATTACCTACTCTAAATATCACAACGATATGTATAAGAAAATGGTAGAAACGATATTTGTTAAGTGAACAGCAAAACGGCAAACTGTAGTATTAAATTACCAGTGCGAGGTGATCGAGGAACAGATATGCCACTTTGTGACGCAACACGAGGATACTTTAGAGATTTTAAAGAGTCATACTCCTCTGGAAGGTTGAATTCTTTCATCTTTGCTTGAAACGGATTAATTTCGGAGTCATGCTAGATGAATATGCTGCAGTGAGATAAAAGTTAAATTACCAGCTCTTCCATATTATATAATGATCCTAGTTTTTTCCAAATGTCATCTGTACTAATTGTATCACTCAGAAAGGAGTTTACAAGATTGGATACATATATCATCTGAAAGTGACGATCTGCGCCAACAGGTTTATGATTCAATATCGCGTGAAAAAGATGAATCTCAGATTCCAAGGTCCATATATCCAAACCAGCTTGATCAACCATGGGTAAGTATTGTTTGATCACAGCAAACCTAAAAGCATGGAGCACCAGAGGTTTTAAACTATGAATTAATAAACCAGAATGTCGATGATATTTATATTCAGGAAATGTTTTGCTGTGTATTTCAAATGACATGAAATATCTATGGAAATGAAATGAGTTTTTGAACAATAGTTTGCTATGCCATTATCTGTTCTCTGAGCCACGACACCATAACATCCACCCAGGTGTCTTTCCTTTGCACTAAGTCTACCTACTTGAGCATGAAAGTCACTAGCCATTATTACTATATCAGAGTGCCTAACTTTTTGGATGAGGTCCGAAAGCTTTCTGTAAAACTCATCTTTCACCTCGTCTGAACTGTAGTCAGTGGGAGCGTAAGCAGATACGACGAAGAGGCAACGACGAGTGTCCTTATCTTTCCTATACCTTACTGTCCCGTTTAGTCGGACGGAGCAAAGCGACTATCTAATGGGATCCAGTCTTAGAGAGCTAGTTCTGACCTAGAACTCACTGCTATACCTACACCAGCGAGGCTACGGGAAGCAGCAACAGCATAGATTCCAGATACACGAACAGTAAATCGAGTTGTTTCTCTATCTGCACAAGGTGAAATTAAACTGATGATTGTACTCGGATTTTGTATGCACATTTTGGAGACGCAGCATAAATCGACTGCACGGGATTCTATTGTCCTAGCTAAGGAGGCTTGTTGTCTTATTCGGCACACGGTTCCAACATTGAAAGCTCCAACAAGTAATTTAGAGTGGAGCTTCAGGATACGAAGAATAACGTTTCGTTTGGATCAGCGGCGCCAGGTTATAAAGGAATGTAAGCAGGTTTGATCACAGAGGTAGGAGTTATTAATAGGTGCAGGAAGGATTTGATTGTAACCGATTTTGTCTCGTGTGTTGTTACGCGTGAGGGTGAATGTCACTTCCCGGCTGCCCACACCGTGAAAAGCTATTTCCTCAGGAACCTGAAAACCAAGTTGGAGTAACGTTGGTTTTAGATACCAGGAAGCGTGACCACATCGCTCAGGGAACAACTGCTTGAGGCTCTTCGGGCACGGCCAGTTTATGGGAAGCTGAAATGTTAGCTCCGCGCTTCAAAATGCCTTATCGCCTCAGACGGAAATCCGTGGGGTAAGGTGAGGTGTGACATTTTGAGGGTCGGCACCGATGCTGGTAGTCTGATGAAAACACCTTGGTGCCGTCACACCCCTCTACAATCGGCTGTAAAACTTCACCCTCAAACCTGCAGTTGCTGCTTTCAGTCTTACCGTTCCCCAATCGACATGCCTGGCATGGTACAACCTATAAGAACATATGTTCTAGGGAATATAGCTCGGTTGGGTCACCACGATAGGCAAACTCGACAACCAGGTCAAAGAGGCAGCTACGATCGAAGCTACAGTCATACTTCGTAGATTGTTCAGAACCCGAGAGAGATTGACTTACGAGGAGCAGGTTGGTTTCCTTTTTTCGTTGAACTCGAAGTGATTATATCTTTGCTCTTCACCAACACCGCCATAATTATCAGAGTGCTGCCGTTGGACAAACACTTCAGGAAGTGAGTGCATACAACCATTCAATCATTAAAGTACGAGTAAGGTTATATTATCTCATTCTCTTGAATTTAATACGTTTAGTCAGTCAGTTAGTTACAACTTAGGACATAGTACGTATGTATGTACATCAGTTCTTAATAAGTTGGCAATCAGTCTGTAAGTACGACATGTGATTTGCACCCTTGAAGTGAAAGTACACTTGCAAGACTCGTAGGACCCCAAATCTGCACCCACTCTTGTTAGTGAGCAGATGGGAGTAGTCGAAAAGTTCATGTACCTATTTACCTGTGTAACTAGAAGCAGTGTCATGAGCGATGAGATCAATTCACGTATAGTGAAATACAGAGCATCTTATGCTGTCGTGGACCATCTTCAGCAACTTTGTAGTGTCAATCTCGCTGTAAAATATCAGGTTTACAATGTGTTAGTGACAGCGGTTTTGCCTAATACTTGTGAAATTCGGCCTCCGAGTTGAGAATAGCAGGCCATTATTTGTGTTGTTGTCTCCGAAGAATAATTGACATTGTGGCAACACCATGTTAGTAATGCAGACGTTCAGCAACGAGTTCTTCGACACAGAGACGATGTTTAAGTTGGTATTGTCATCTTCAAACACTGACTGTGGTGGCTCCGACATCAACTATGAATGTCGTCCCAGTGAACTCCATATAGTGCATTATTTGTCAATGAGGGACATATTTAGAAAAACCGGAGGTGTGTGAGTGTTATGGTGTCGCAGTATGAAGGAAAGTTGCACAGGACTAGCATCTATTGGTCCTTTATGACCCCTTAGGAGGGATCCTAGAGATGATACAAATTAGTGGCTTGAAATGTTATCAAACATGGATCAAAAATAAAGTCCAGAGGTGGTCCTAACTCAACTTTCTTATTTTCCTCACTTAAGATAGGGGGACTTCTCAAACTGAACGAATCAGTTGGGTTGCATTTTTCCTAACTGAACTCCTCCTACTATTATCACCATTATTTCACCTTCATAGATTGATTTCTCTCATTTTCTTGATATACGTTTCTTTTTCTATCTTTTAATAACCTCATTTTTATCATGGCATATATATATATATATATTGGTGCCTATTTGTACCAATATTTGTGTTTCAAATAAAAAAATCAAATTATGTACACACTAGGATCCATAATAGTACAGAAACTGGTTCGTCTGCTACAAAAAGACATGTACACATAAGCAGCTACTATTTACATCTAAATTGCTCTTAAATCACCTAGACATTTAAAACCAATGTTCCTTTCAAAATAAGTAAGGCAGGGTTCTGAGAACTCAAAACATAGGTAGTGAAACTGATTTGTTAAATACAGTAACCTTAGAAAAGGGATCCGTGAATTAGTGTGATGATTTGGGATTAAGAACAAGAGTTGGAGCTTAGAGTTAGAATTTTTATCACTAACTAGCATCAGTTGAAATTAGGGTCTCGACATATGGACTTTTGACAAGTTAAAAAATCCAGTTACTAGTAAATCATAACATAGACGTAAGTAGAGACGTGTAATACCAAGAGTTCAAAGACTTGAAAACAGTGTCATCAAAGACATCAGAATGAGGAAATAAACAATGAACATTTTAACAACTTTTATGGCGCATTGCAATCATGTGTCGAAATTAAAAGGTTTCTAAAGTTGAAAGTATTTTATTCGAAAATCACCTTAGAAGCGAAGATATGCACAGCATACACGAGACACCTTAATTAGATAATCTTTAGAATATTATCAGTCGGTTCGTAACTAAAACTAACTCTAGAATAACAGAATCACATTGAAAGATGTAACTGAAGCCTCTGGGAGGTTTGAATTTAGTATGAAGGTACCTTGTTTGCTGAGGCCATGTGAGAAATATTTGACGTAACCTGAGAGACCCAGCAGAAACACGGGATGCACTTCCTTCTAGTACATAAAGCAATCGAAAGCAATTTGAAATAACAAAAGTATGAGATTAAAGATAACGAAGAAACCGAGACTAGGAGTGCGTTACACAGTGTAACTTCAGTCTTTGGTTATTTGCGTTTAGTCAGAAGGTACATTGTGTGTTGCGGGTGTGTGAGGAGCAGTGTGTGAGATTATCTAGAAGAAAAAACAACGGAAAATTATGAGCCGACGACTCAGTAAGCACATGGAATGCACTTACATTCAATATAGAAATCGGTGAACAGCCATCAGAAATAAAGCCAGCATGATATCAAGACTAACTGATTAACGAAGCTAGGAGTTGCTAGCTTGAGGGTCCGAATGAGTTACAAAGTTATAAATTCAATTGACGTCAAAGTCACGACGCTCAAGGACTTTTATAATAGCGAATACAAACGATGTGTGAAATATTTCCCTTCAGTTTTAACACACTTTACTGGCATTTTATGCATGTAGAATGTATATTTATTAAATATTAGGCCTCAAAATCGGTCTCCCACCAAGTTCGTTTTTCTAAACCTGCATACGCGTGCTTGATGCATGCACCGGTTATTCGGGTGTTGACAACATCATATTTTCAATTTCTTTGAGATAGTATACTGCACTTAAATAGACTGGTGCCTTGTTGTCCACTTTCTAATGCATTTCATCACACCTGTCCAACCTCTTGTATCAAGAAAGGGAAAGTTTAAGTATTAAACAACCACCACGTTTGAAATAAAATGATACATCCAAATTGGATTAGTTTTTCACTCACCACCCTGAACTTCGATCACATGACAGGTTCCTGTTAGACGAAGTTAAAGTAAGCGTTTTTAGCTTAGGAACTTATCTAGGGTAGCTAAATTCAAATTGTCTACATTATGTGATCCAAACAATAATAGTAATTTATTTTTAAATACAGACAAGATTAAAACGCTAAAATCGCTAACATATTTTCTGTAAAAGGTTGTTCAGTCCCGTGAATATTTCAAAACACACATTGGCTTCTTATAGGTGACTAAATTTTTTCACATAAAATTTTCGACTGTGTTCCGAACCCTGGAATTTACCAATGATAGTTGGCGCAATGTACGACGGCTGCGTAGCGACGGGCCACTGCTGATTGAAAACTAGTGCAAAGTAAGTCCAGGTCTACATCTGACAAGAATCGATGACGCAACCGGGCAAAAATCTTCTTGCTGATACTCTTCAGATAATAAATTCACACGCTCCTAGGTAAAGTAACCAAGTCTCTGGCAGTTATCCAGGCTAATATTTAAGGCACAGGTTGAGAAGATGACGAAGACAAACAAAGAGAAGCCGGTGAGAAGCACAATGGAAAAAATTATTGTTTAAAGTTAAGTAATGACTCAGCAGATAATATTTTTGGATCGAACAATCCTATGATCATTCAGACATTTCTTTTTCTGTATTAGAACACTACCCGTACATCTGCATTTATTTAGGTTAATGAAGACAAGTCACTTGTAAGATAACTAATCAGCAAACAATTTTATGAATAGAGGGAATCCAAAACATTAAACTATTAGAGATAATATTGACTTACAGAATACACTGATGAAGGTACAGTGATCTGATGCTTTGATGACATTTTACTTATTGTTTTTGACGCTGTAGTTCAAGA